ATTTTATTTTTTACCACTGAACTAATGTTTAACATGAGATTTTACAAACAGCCCCAAGCTGCCCAGATCTGTGGAAGAAGTGCTGCAGTTTAGGACCAAAACTAACAACTTTTTGTCTCTTTCCTGCTTCAGGTTTTAGTTGAACTCTCCAGAGGTTTCAGTGGGTGGTGCTGTAGAGCTGAGATTTTAATCCGGAGCATCACTGATCTCCCCAGGGAGCAAATGTGGTCCCCCAAAAAACAGGTGCTTTTCCTCACTTACTTCTCACACAACAATAATATTAATGCACCACTTTACTTGTTCTCCACAGGGAGACACTCTTAACTAGCCCCCAACAGAAAGGTCAGGGGTCAGGCTGCAGCCTTGCGTCTTGATCACCTCAGAGGTTCAGCGCCTGCACTTGTTTTTAGACGAGGAATGGTTGTATCAGTGGATACGTTTTAGATACTATGTTCTCGATTTAATATTATACAGTATTAACTGTCTCAATTGGGTCAACATTTGTACATTTTGTAGCTAATTTCTTTCTTATTTGGTTTTTAAAATAACATTATTTTTCCTCATTTTATTTTAACAATTTTAATGCTGTGTTTTAAGTTCATGGTCCACTGCTGTTGGCTAAATTCGACTTGCAAAAGTCGTAGCTCGGTAACCTCAGATTTTGGAGATGGAGAGAGGGGGTCACAGTGCAGTTGGGGTGGAGTGAGGCTGGATTTGCATTTTGAGTATGAAGAGCTGCAGGTGTCAGACAGTACGATCCCCCTCCTCCCTTTGCAGCTCACAAACACACAACCGTCACGCATCACTCACACGCCACTAATACAGTCACTGATTTTATCAGTTAAGAAGCAGCTGTGAAGGACATCTTTTTATTTTTTTACTCCTCTGAAACCCTGCTGTCTGTGTGAGACGAGTAACAGCTCAGGAATAATGGAGATTATGAATGTCAGACGGGATTAAAATAGCTGATATTATGGCCAGAACTCTCCAGCATGAGACTGGTTTCTTTTGAGTTCAAGGGTTTCTCTTTCATTTCACCATCGTAACATTCAAGCTCAAAACATTTGCTGCATAATGAGTTCTTAGGAGAAATAATTAAACAGGAGGATTATGAATAGCAGGGTGATAACAAATCAAAACCTCTTAATTCACCTGATGAAAGTATAAACTGTCTCAGYCACACTGACTTCAACAAATTAAAAACTCATGAACTGGCATTTAAGAGCTTGTATAAATGTTGATTTTTATAGATATTGTTAAAAGTGGAATCAGGTGTTGCATCTTTGTACAACTTTATTCTGCAAGATAAAAAAGCTACAAAGAAAAGTTTGAGTATTTACAAAAAAAATACTTTTTTAAACACCAGACTACTTTCTCTTCCATATAACATGATTTAAMTTAACTTGAGATCTTTTTGAGTTAGGGTTTTGTGGAAAAGTTACAATCAATGCATTGCCTGTTGTAGAAAACTCTGTCAATATCTCTGTTTGGAGAAACTGAGTTCAGCTCTAACCAAACCGATGAGCTGACGACTAGTCCGAGAAAAGCCGAGAGCAACCCGCTGCTGTTTTAAAATGACTCCAAGCTCAAGATTTTAATCAAGTTTTGTGCAAGAACTACAAACATTTGAACTAATTTTTACATCACATGTTTATTCTATAGGGTTCAATGTTAACAAATGCTAAGAGCAGCAGTWGCAGCTAGCTGTAGCACTTCTGGCAGGAACGTCGTGACAGTTCTGCAGGATTAACAATATAAAGTGAAACTAATGACAGTTTAAAGGTTTATAAAATAGWCTTCACATGAATCAACAACAKGTAAGATGTTGATTGTTCATAACCTTTCCTCAGAACTYCACCACTTKAACACATTTTTGCTGAGTTYWTGTGGCAGGATGGTTGGCGTTAGGAAGAAAAGTTTTATAACTTGTGCTTCAGGTAATACAGAACTCGAGGAAACAATTTAAAGGTATTTTTAAAATCTTATTTTTAAATATTACGCATATTAGTTTTATAATCCAAGATGCTTTTGTCCAGATATAAGACAGAGACATACAGTATGAACAACTGTGTAGCCTCCTCCTAAAATAACACCACAGCTGTTAAACACTTGGTCCTATCTTAGTTAAAGTTAAGATGTTAATCCAACTCTGACCACAGGTTCAGCAGGCTGGCTACTGCACACAGAGCCGGCACAAAGACAGAGCTCTCCGGGGCTCAGAAGATTATTTAAGTGTTTCCTCTTGGCTTTTTGGTGCCATTATTGTTTCTCAGCCTGCTTTTATAAACCCTAAAAAAGCTGAAAGGAACACAAAGTCAAAATGAGACAGAGCTGAATGATCAAACTTGCAGTCAAATCACCACCCAGACGTAGCTGAGGTGAACTAACACATAAAACTGGAGCAAAGTCCCCATGACCAATCATTGAGACCTGGAGACACACGACCAGTGGGGGACAAAAAAGATGTACGTGGTTGGAGAGGGGGTGCAGGGTGGGAGAGACTGGGGATGAGGAAGGGAGAAAGAAAGAAAAACGTATAATAGGAGGGTAAATAGTATGTGAAAAAAATAAAAAGCTGTAAAAATGACTGATACCAGCAGCAAACAGTCTTCTGTGTACAGAATCTAAACTAATAAAATATGATTACCTAATAAATCTACAGCTGGTTTCAAAGATTATAATCTTTGWTTAAGATTAAGTCCTAAAAATCTCAGCAATGGTTCATTAAATGCAATCTTTTCCCTGATAATAATCCATCTCTACCAAACTTGCCAAACAAGGTGAACATTTCTTTTTTCTTAAAATAAACATTTGAAAAACTGGTATTCTATAATAATTAAAGACCTAGCATTTCTTAAAATAAAACACGTCACCTGTTGCCTTTAATAGCACAATTTTAGACTAAGATCATCTTAGGATGAAGTTGTCACCATGTTGGTTGAACCTTAAACATTATCTCAAGATGTAAAAGTGTTGCTGTGTAACTTTATAGATAATAAATATGTTTCCTAAAAATGGCCATTTTGTTGTAAAAGTTTTTTTAGTTTTGGAGAAAAAAAGCAAATTGCGGTACAAATTACAAATTTGTGTTTTAAATTAAAACCTTTTAAACAACACAAGGATGTAAAGCATCTTTGTTTAACTAAATACTGAAAGGTGAAGGACATACAGATAATAATAGTCATTAGTTTTCATAATTTAGCGTCATTATTTTCAAGTTTTAGAAAAAAAAAGCTTCGTTTAGTGTAACATTGACACGTCATTTTAAAAAAGCTTTTATCAAATGAAAACCATCTTCGGTTCCAATCAGGTAAACCAAGATGTAAAATGTAAAGACCAGAAGGTGAAAAATTCAACATTGAACTAATAACTGTTTTTCAGATAAATTGGAGCAAACTCTGAAAATATGTTTCTCTGTATTTTTTTATTGTTTTATTCACTATGTCAAATTTCAGAGTTAATGTCTAAAACAGAGCTGATTAACAGTCTGAGCTGAGGAGGCATTCTCTGTTTGTCCTGACATGATGAAGCTTGTGAGCCTTTTATCCTCGAATTTATCTTAGTGTGAATCTATGATAGAAGATTTGCTCTCGACTCTTACTGCAGATCTCCTAGTGTCTCCTTGTTGGCTATTGTGCTCCTGGTTCCCTGTAAAAACTCCAGCATCACCTCACTTCTCAGCCACTTCCTGGACACCTTGTTGGCTCTCTGTTCCTGCAAACCCTCCTGCAGACCACACAGGAGAAGTCAGCCCAGCTTTACCTGCCACCTGGATGTATTCTCTCTCTCTCTCTCTCTCTCTCTCTCTCTCTCTCTCTCTCTCTCTCTCTCTCTCTCTCT